TCTCATGGGTTTGCTTGTAAACATCTATAGAAAGGTTTTTTTGATTGCAATAAAGTTTTTTTGGTTGGTGGAAAAGTTTTTTTTATGTTGGCCAAAAGTTTTTTGGATTGAAAATAAAGAATTTGTTGATGGGTTTCCCGCCAGTTGCGTCTACCTGGATCCCTCAAGTACCGCTTGGCGAATCTTTTTCTCCAGCTGAGGGCTCGTGGCCGAGCTCACCTTCGTGAGAATCAATGATCTCGCGGCGCCTCCTGAGCCGATCCACCCACTGGTCTACATCGAGCCACTCATCACGTACGATACTGTGACATGATGTAGTATACTCGGCTGTTCTATGTTATATAATATACTACACATTAATATAACTAGCGCAAGAAGGCACAGACAGCAACTTGTGGGAGGGTGTGAGAACTGAGGCCAGGTGGAGCTGTTTGTCAGTATGTGTCAAAAGCTACTCTTTTCAGGATGTGCTGCCGGTATGGCTCTTTCACAGCTTCCCACAGAGAGTTGTATGCCGGTGACCGCTCAGAAGTTCAGCCGAGGCCACTGGTGGCACTGCTGATCGTCGGAAATGGAGTCATGCGCCCTGTTGAAACCTATATCGTAAACCCTGAACTCCTAAACCCTAAATCCCTATACTATCCGATCCTGTCCCAATCGAATGCATTGCGGATCCCGCAAGCCTGAATCCAGGAGCTGGAGTTCGTAGACTCAAGCTTTGTTTTGTGAGGATTGGCTTCCAAACGCATCCGGACCATAAAGACTGGGATTATTGGACCCACGTGGAGATTGCATTTGTGAGCGTGCTCGTGCTGGAGATCGCTTTGCGAATGCATTTCCTGCGTTGTCAGAATTTCTGGTGCGGGACAGACTGGTTTTGGAACTATTTCGACATTGTACTCGCCATAACTGGGGTGGTGGATATCTTGGTGCAGCTGGTGCACGACGAAGACTTCGACATTTTCGGTACATCTCTGCTGAGGTTCTGCCGCCTAATCCGGCTGGTACGCATCGTGAAGGCACTTTTGCCCCAAAAGCTCACATCTAAGGACGGAAGACACGAGTCGGTAGCACAGGTCTCTTCGGAGGTCTGGGCTTCGACGGGGGCCTGAGAACAGAGACTAGTGACTACTAGTGGAACGCGGATGGGATGTTGGCTAAGACCACATCCACATGCGCGTCACCACTGGAGCTGTGTGCCATCTTCACGGCTTTCCGCGCAATTGCATCGTCCCATCTGGCAAGTGTTGTGAAGCCGCCCTTAAACCCTGAACCGAGATCCTGACAGGTCTTCCGCCTGAAGTTTATGCGGGATCTGCGACTGATGGTCAAGGGCCTTGTTGCAGGCATCGCTTGCAGACTGCAGCATGTAAAGTTCCTTGTGTGTTCATGTCTGAAGATGAGTTTGCCAAGATTTATAGGACTTCATCGAGGGTCCCTGTTCCTATAATATACTATAGTGTACTAAAATATACTATAATATACTACAACATAATATACTATAATATACTGAACTCGTCAAACTTCAGCCATCTCCTGGGTCAAGCGGAACTCGAGCCTTGAGCCGCTGCAACCCCGAAGGGCAACCTTCGAGACGCCACTTCATGCGACTTTAAGACACGCAAGCAGCATCAGCAAAAGAATCATGGCAGATACTGATCATGTTGATCAGAAAGGGCATAAGTATGAAAGGAAGGAGAAGCTCACCTCAAATTTGGCAGGTGTCCGCACGCTTACGCTGGCCTTCACCTTGCTGTTTTGTGTCCTTTATGCACCTTAGTGGCAACAAAGCTAATCGGGTGCCGGAAGTCTACATGCCGATGCTGTTACAGGCGTGCTTCGATTGACCTCAGTTTCGAACAGCTGCCAAGTGTTCTAGGGTGGCTCACACTTATCACTTGGACATAGTACGTGATGTTCAGCCAAGGTCATTGGTGGATTTGCTACGATGACAATCGGGAGCGACTCGAGAACAACGGTGCTCCGGCTGACATGCCACGCGCAACGATCCGAAGATGTAGCACGCGCTTTCGTGCCTGTCGGCCCTGTGACAGTTCCAGGTCGTGTAGCTGTTCGTGTCTGCTTCGGGCAAACTCCACCGTCTCAGCTTGAGGATGAAGACTTGATGAAGTACTTCGATAATCTTCCGCAGTGTATCCTGGCAAGCATTTTTCAGGAAATCTTTGGCACGCTTACGGTTCTAGCTTCGCATCCTGCTTGCCTGTTGAATTGGGTCTGGTTGGGCAACTGTGGATGCCTAGGCATGTTCACCGCCTTCCGGCAGCTTGGCTTCAGCTTTGGGGCAGTTGAGATGCTTGGGCCCTGACAGGATTTAGAAAGGCAGAGGCCGTGCCCGAATGCAGTAAAGTAGCACAGATGATGGGTTCTCATGCTTGTAGCTTCTAGCTTGCTGGCTGCTTGTCAAAATTAAGGTGCTTCACTGGCGACTGTGTGAACGACAGAGGAGAGCCCATTACACACCTCCTGGCCCGGTTCTTCGGCTCAACACCGGAGAGAGGCAGGAACCCTGCCAGAGATCCCTGGCCCTGAAGCATGACCTTGATCTCTGCTCGTACCCGTTTGCTCTAGTTAGCAAGCCCCACGTGTGGCAGTGCTACAGAAGGCAAGCAAGAAGGGTGATCTAAAGTGACATGTCCTCAACGGAGGCATTTAAAACCTTGTGGTCATGCTGGTGTTGTCGACAGACAAGGTTGTTTGGATACAAATTCATCCTGCCCTATGTGATCAGCTACATGCTCGTTGCAATGGGCATATTCAATGTCATTCTGGCTGTCTATGCGACATGGCCAGCATTGTTGAACGTCGTCGTTTTGCGGTTTAAATTTCAGAAGTCCAGCTCAGCCGAAGTCGGGCATGTCCCCATGATCTGGCAGCATGTCCTCCAGAAGTGCTGTTCCGGGTCCACACTGGTGCTAATTCCTGCCCTTTGATTACGCTGCAGGTTGACATCACGATGAAGGCTGCCAAGGAAAACGAAGCAGTGACCGCGGAGCAGTATGCACGGGAGTCCATCCGGGTGGCGCGAACCACACGCGAGCTCCTCAAGCGTTTTGCATCAGCTTACCGCCTCTTCCACGACATGGAGGATTCCGCTTAAATGGTCATTCATGGGATTACATCCTGTCTATTTTAATTGGTATTTTGATTGGTTTTCATGGTTGACATCAGTTCGGGGATGTGGCGTCGGCTCTGGGCTTTGCTCTCTTGCTCTCCATGCTTCAATCTAATGTCTTCTTGAAATGCCGTACGCTTCTCCGGTCGGAGGACGACAGCGCGGAAGTTTCCCATCTGGAGATTAGCCCAGGCAAGACGGTCTTCACGGATGAAGATGTGCACGAAGGTATTGCGATCACTAAAGATCTTTTTCTTCTCGTGATCCAAGACCGCGGCGTGCAGCAGTTAATGGATGAGCTGGACCTGCCGCCGGATCGGGCGAATCTCTTCGAGATTATCGATGCTGATGGCAGTGGGACATTAAGAATTTCCGAGCTGGTGCAGGGTCTCCTCAAGATCCGCGGGGAAATTAGCAAGAGCGATGCCATTGCCGCTCTGTTAGCCACGAAAGCTGTGTACTCCATGTTGGAGGAGATTCGTCAAGAGACTGGGAAGGGTTTGGACGATTTGAAAGACCTGACTTTGCGCAGTGTAAGCTTTCTACATGCGGAACATTCCAGAGCGGCCTCCGCAGACACCTCTCACGGTCGTGAAATTCGCGAGCTGGCTCCTGACATAGACTCTGAGCCATGTTTTCAGCACGATTCTGGCAAGCCTGACCTGCTTCTCCCGAAGGGTTCCGTTTTTCAGGGAGCAGCTGATGTTCAGCTGCGATCTTGCTGAAGTTCCTGGGTGCTTGATACAGAATCTGCTTTTCTATTGCCGGAAGATGTAATGCACAGCACGATCTAGTAGAATGTAATATACTATACTATTATATATTTATAATACTACCTAGAGCCAGGCCCAAGGGGGGTTTCTCGATTTGTGCCCCCCATCCCTGAAGGAAGACATCGCGTTTTGTGACTCTGGGCGACTGAGTCACCACAAGTTGCAAGGGCCGTCGGCATTGGCCGCAGTGATCTGACAACGCACGCTAAAGCAGGCAAAATTCCGGAATCCATCCCGACCCCCTGCACCCTCGGCCTCAGCCCGGGTTTCTAGTGCCCGATGCCAAAAACGCAGTGTTAAGAATTAAAACTCTCGAACGGACCCCAACATAAACCATAAACAGCAGGATCCTTCTTACAAGCGTCCCTTTATCAGGCACTCTAATTGCAAAAGCCCAGGCTACCAAAAAAGCTCCGATCGAAACGCTTCAGACGCCTTGAGACGATACTTCCAGGCACCTCTGAGATGACGAAACCTCGCCCCCCCCCATATCCCCTGAACCTGAAGCCTCTAAACCAGAAGCCAAATTCTCTTGTGACGTCCCTTGCGCTTTCGGCGATGAGGCCCTACAGGCCAAAACTCAAAAGCAGGTGGCAAGATCGATATGGGTAGTTTTCTACCAGTGTCCCTTTTTTACAAGAGTACGGCGCCCTTACAACAGGGCCCTAAAAAGGGTACCCTCATTTAGAGAACTACCCGTATGGTGAGTCTCGGTTTCAGATCAGGTGATCTTTTTGATGCTCAAAAGACTAGGTTCCCCTTATGACAGAAACCACAGAGTGGGAACAAGGAGACCCTTATTATTTAGGGGCTACTGGGGAACCTAGAAAGAGGATCCGGGAGAGGGCAAGAAGCCCAGTCCTGGGCTTCCGTCAGACCAAGCCCGCTAAATGGCGGGTTTGGGGTTTAGGGCTTATGGGTTTAGGGGTTTAGGGTTTAGGGTTTAGGGGTTTAGGGTTTAGGGTTGCAAAATTCTCGATGATTAAACCCTTTTGGCTTGCGGCTCTGTAGTTGGCAACTGTCGCTTTACTTCCTACGGCTATTAGTTCTCTAAGAAGAGCTCTCTTTAGGATCTTGGGCTCTCTTTAGGATCTTGGTCTTGACAGCTGTCTTCTTGAAAAGAAAAATCTTCTCACGAAGACAGTGCCCTATGTCTGGAGGCAAGACCTTCGTGCCAAGAACGTGTCACGATGCCCGAGCACAGACATGACTGAAGAAGGAAGTCGTCTCACAGTACCCAAGGAGCCGAAGGCTTGAGATTTAGTTTGCCTTCCCCAATTTTGGGGGTCCCTCCGGGGACATCTTGCCGCAGACTCCCTGGCTGAAAGCTTGCTGTCAGCATCAACGTTATCGTTAGAGAGTGTGTACTTCTATCAGCCTATCTACCTCGACCTATCGATTTGTCGATCTGTCTATACATACCTATCTATGTATATCTACCTATCTCTTTATCCATGTCTCTTATCTTCTCCTCTCCATCTCTCTCTGTCTGCTTGCCTGCCTGGCTGCCAACCTACCTACTAGCTCGCTAGCCAGGTGTCTGTCTAGCCATCCACCTATCTGTCTATCTATCTATGATTCTTTCTATCTGTCTATCGATCCATCTATCGATCTATCTATCTAAATCTAGCTAGCTAGCTGCATATGTACGCACATACGTACGTACATACGCACGTACATACATACACACACACACACACATACAAACATCCACACCTACACGCATGCAGACAGCCAGCCACACAGACAGATGGAAGGACAGACAGACAGACATTTCTGTGCCCATGTATGTGCAGGCATGTGCATGTGCGCCTGTCTGTATATGTGTTAACATCTGTCTGTGTGTGTGCGCTGGTAGAGATACCTACGTGGAGGACGTATGTATATATGTTTGCATGCATGTATCAATGTGTGTATGTGTGCCTGCCTGTATAATGTATGTATGTGTGAGTATGTGTATGCTGAGGTGATCTGTCGCAAAGGCACATGAGTGTCTGTCTGTGTGCGTGTGTGTGTGTCTCCGTTTGTCTGTGTGTATGTATGTGTGTGTAGCTGTGGCATACACAGCCGAAATGTTGTGCAGTAGCCGTTGGTCAGCTTGTCTTCATCATAGTATGTAGCGAGTATGCCAGACATCGGCGAATCCGGCGTTTGCTGTGCAGCGGGAGCTGGGCGTTCTCGCTTTCCTTGGGGCGTGCAGTAATCGAAACTTGCGCGTGCTCCGATTGTTGCGGCCTTGAAATACGAGACTTGCTGACCTCATGCGAGTCATGTTTCCCTTCAGTTCATGCATTGTGACTGTCACTCCGTTGGATGGTTGGATGGTGGATGCTTTGGGTGCCTGCGAATTAAGCAAAACCTGGCACATGCCTAGGTTGAACTGGTTAGGGGCTATTCTTTGAGACCCTGCATGGGCACGGAGTACCCTTCATCATGCTGTGTGAGCCATATTCCTGGAAACCCCCCGCGTTTTTCGAAGCTTTGGCTAAGGTTGTAAATTTTGAAATCTGATTCGTTCGCGATGTGCGTTTGTCCCAGAGAGTCTGGCAGATAGTTTGCAGCAGGGCCGCGCTCCTCTTAGAACAGGGCATTCGAAATTAGGACATTGATCTCCAAGCATGGCAAACATCCCTCAGTGTCAGATCATCAATCTAGGTTCAGGTTTCCGAGCAGAGAGGTTGGTCTCCTTGCATCTGCAGAGAACCTGGTCTTCTGGGATGCAGAGACGAACCGCAATCTCTCGAATAGCTGAGGTTTGGCAGTATGCCATGGAAAGCAACTTGGCCAAAAGGTCACATGTAGCTCCGGGCTCTGCAAACCCTGACGCAGGCAGAGCGTATTGCCTTCAGTCGGCAAAAGTACAGAATTGAAGGTGCATACTCAGCAAGGAAAGCCTAGCAGAAAGAGCGAGAAAGGGTCCCGACAAAGCAATGGCTTCAGCTTCGCGTTGTCCTTTTGCTTTTGCATTTCTTCTCACCCCCAGGCCCGCCTGAAGAAGTGCCCTTGCCAATCTTGACGATGTCAAAGCAATATCTGACCTGCTCCCAGTGCTTCAATCATCAAAACGACGCACTTGAGTTCCATTATCTCCTCTATACTATAGTATACCAAAGCATACTTTTCATACGTTTATATACTGTTATATTCTATCATCTACTATAATGATATTCTTTCAGATTATCGAATTATGTGTTGAGGTGTGCCCAGCGGAGACGCAGATGCCGACTTCTGGCTCGGTCTGCGGAAGCAGTTTCCTGGAGTTCCCCAAGCAGCTGTGGAGCTGCCACGGACTCGGTACGGTTGAGAGGGGTTAGGGTTTAGGGTTTAGGGGTTTAGGGTTTAGGGGATTAGGGTTCAGGGTTTAGGGAGTTGTCTCCACGATAAGACAGGATCCACCGGGATGTGAAGGCAACTCCGGTTCGTTTCTCCAACACATGTTGGAAATCGAGCATCAGATCAGACATAAATTTCGCGGCAACCCTGTTGAGACGGTTATCGAGAACGTGGTACCGCATCCTAGCCTTCGCGATGACCTTCTACGAACCACAGCGCGGTTGGCCATGGACCCGATTGTCATCGACGCCACGGACGGAAAAATGGCCCCTGTCTTGGGGTTTCTTTGACTTTGAGGCTTGCGATCCTATAGGGTCCTAGGGCTCCACAGTGACTCCATAGTCTGTTTCTGCAATATCGAATTCCGTGTGATCGGGACATCCTCGCCCTCTGAGAAGGCCGTCTGTGAGAAGCTTTTGTAGAGTGGTATCCCTGCCGCGAGCTACCAGTTGCGAAGAAGTAAGTACAGCTCTAGTCCTTCCCATGCTTGTTCAAAGTCAATACAGCTTCTTGGTTGTTCCATCGAAAAGTGTCGTCTACGCTCGTCTATACGTGTATGCGTGTACTGCAATCTGGGAAATTGCAGAGGCTGACGCGTCGCTTCGCGCGCTGCACGTCCAGGGTGCAAAGCTGGCACAGCAAAGCAGCGCGGGGCGAGGGCGACTCCTCTGAATTAAACTTTATTACAATGTATAAGATAATCCACAATAATATACTGGGTTATCAGGGTTTGGGGCTCCGCCTTCTTGGCATCGAGAAACAAGCAAGCCGTTTTCAGTCGAGGTTCTGGACGAGGCAAGACATGACAATGCGTTGCAAGAGCTTTACACAGTGAGCGTACGTACGAACCCGTAGAGCGAAATCTATATGGGAAGTAGGCCTGCGAGTTCTCAGCAAGGACTGCGATCCTACAGTGCTCGTCAGAGAGTCAGATTTGCTAACCAAGCCCAGGCATACTGCATGTCACCACGTGTCTACATGCCTATATATATATATATATGTATGTATGTAGGTATGTGGGCGTATATATATATATATATATATGTGTGTGTGTGTGTGTGCGTATATGCGTGTGCATGCACAAGTATAGGATACCATGTTATTGTTATCATATTTGATGAAGATACTGTGCTCTGTTGGCCATCCAGTTCTCCCAGGCACCTTGACACCATGAATGATGCTAGGACGACGCGTTGATGACGGCTTGCCAAAAGCACGAGTGGTCAGGGGCCCTAAACCTTAAACCCTGAAGAGTGCGGGGCGGCTCCGGGTTTCTGGGATGAAGACGACGTGGTGCAGCCATCTCGGGGTCTCCTGGTGGTCGTCATGGCCGCTGTGGTGCTCTATCATTGTTTGGGGATGCCCAATATGCAGGGGTTCCTCGTCTCCTGCTCTGGTTTTGCGACTTTCGAAGTTCGGAGACACCAGCTTTCAACCTGGGACTCCAGTACCGATAGCCCGTCCAAATCGCTTAGCCGGCCCCTTTTTCCGCAGCAGCGTGGTCAGATTTGGGAGCTGAGGGTTTTGGTTTGCATCCGGACTGGGAAAGTGCAGGCTTCGCGCTCTTTTGGTATTTGCGCACCTGCAGTCGGCATCGCGAGTAGCAGAGTCACGGTACGATTCCGTGGTATCTCTTGCGCTCACTCACGATGAAGACGATTGTTGCAGCTGATCCTATTTGGGATGGTCTGCGTGACCGGACGCTGGTTAATATGCCCGCGTCCGGCCCCGAGCCGGTACCAAAACGCCATCCGGGCCAGCGGAACTTCGAGCTGCATGGCTTATCGAAGTCTCGCAGGTGCCTGCTGTCCCAAGAGACTTCGGTGCAGCCACATCTGAAGGTGATCGAACACTTTGAGAGCCACGTAGCGCATCCCTCAAATCGAGCCAAGGAGAAGCTTACTATTACTCACTATTACGTAAAAAAAAGTAGCGACAACGTTGACATGAAAAACCTTTGGCTGGCATTGGGCACCTGTGTGTGGCCCAAAAGCAGAGCAGTGCTGAGCAAGTTCGGGAACACCGAGTGCTCGCTAACGTGCGAGCAGACCCTCACTCCAGCTCCGCTCCCTCACCCAGAGAACCCAATACCCCTTAATTAAGGAATATACCTTAGATTCTANNAGGTATATTCCTTAATTAACGGGTATGGGCATCTGATGACACTCAGGCAAGTTGGTCCTGGAACTTCAAGACGGCCAATGCATTGAGCTGCTCGGCCTGAGACCTATCCTGTCTTACGGAGACCTTTAATGTCCGATGCCGATGGGGGACTGTTATTGTTGCTGTGCATCGCTTGTTACTCTTGTCAGTCATGGTGGGTCCAAAACTCCAGAGCTAGCTTCGCATATCCCCAGCAAGCCTTCGAGCTAAAGTCACTTTTCGGGCTTGACCCCATGCGGTTCAAAGGCGAAAAGAGTTAGAGCCGGAGTGCATCTGTGGCTTTGCACAAGATGTGGTTCAGGACCGTCATCATCGAGCATGGTGGTCCGAAACCTCGAGCAACCGCTCCTTGCTTGCAATGCTGCAGGCCCGTCTGGTAGAGACCATGGCGCAGACCTGTACAGACACGGGCAGACACCCACCCGTGCAAAAACAAACGCGGACACTCGAGCGAGCGCATGCAGTGCTCCCTCCCTCCCTCCCTCCCTC